AATAAACAAATCCAACTATACAAGGATTATATGAAAGAACTAATAATTTTTTCACAGTCACTGTGCAGACGAGAGCCAAGGCTCTTACTTCCCTGCCAGACAATCTCAAGACTCTTTTCATTTTTGCGCTTAGCTCTATCTTGATAATCTATTCGACCAAAGAAAAGAGAGTCAAAGCCAACCTGTATTTACAATTAGAATTAGAGGATAGCTCACAGAATTTTAACAACATGCACAATAGTTTTTCTTCTGTGGTTCAAGGTCTAAGGCATACTTCAGATCCCAATAAGTAAGCCTGCACAGCAGAATGTCCAAAAGGATCAATTTGCCAACCAATTCTAGGAGTCACGCCAAACTCCTCTTTCAGGAACCGATGTCCCATTGTTGTCTGATCAATCATATCTATGTAATGTGTTGCTGCCTCATCATGCATACACATGCCACCATTTCTGTGACAAGAGGGGAAAAATGAGTCACAAAAAAAAAATCGTCAGGACTCAAATCTCAGATAAATGGAGAGAGTCAAAATATATTTTCCGGAACACTCCAAACTTGATAATAACTTTTTCTCAAGTAAAGAGAAAATAAAACTATACTAAACAGAAAAGTAAATTACATGAACTCTATTGACCCGAGCTGACAAGTTGCTTAACTACATGCTTAATAGCTTCACTCTGGTCCCTCCACCATCGCTGAAAAAAAGCCTGCATTAATGATGAAACAATGTAAAAATTTATCCTGGTAATTATTGAAAGCATTAAAAAACATTAACGACTGTTGTAAGCTAGCACAAAAACTACACTATTAAATGATCATATGTTTGCCCATGCTTAACAAAGTGTACACAAAACAAAGACATTGAGGCATAAAAAAGAGGAAAAGTCCGTCATAAGTATAGTATTGTGGAACAAACAAGAAATCTGATATATACTCTTCTGGTCCCATTTATAAAATAGAAAAAAGGTTTTTTTTTTTTTGTCTTATTTATAAGTCATCTCATTAAATTTTTAGTATGAATGTAATATCTTATCCTTCATTTATTACAGTGCTGATGGTTATTTTTTTTTGTAAAGTGTATATGTTAAATAGAAACAAAGTTAGAAAGTTGTTAAATTTTAAAGAAAAGTTAATACAGTTTAAGGGGTTTTTTTTTTTTTTGTCTGTGTAAAATATGTTAGAAATACCCTATAAATAGGACCAGAGGAGTAAATCTTTAGCTAACTTTTCTAATGTGGTACAATAGAAAGGTTTTTAAGGAAATAAGTATCAGAATGGGAAAGGGAAATGAGCCTTTCACGTAACCAATTTTGGCATGCGGTAAGGATTAAAAAAAAAAAGAAATATTTGAAACTTAGAATTTGAAGGGGGGCAGGAAAAGCAATGACACACAAACCTTATAAAAAAGACATGTCTCGTCTTTTTTTTTTTTGTTGGGGGGGGGGGGGGACGTGACTAGTCTTGAACAATAGAAAGTGGCATTATTTTCGTCCTTGACATCATGGTTTCTAAGGGAAGTGACATTTCTTGAACTCCCATTCCTTTCTACCAAACATAACCGTACAATGTGATAATTTGGTCTGGGATTTCTAGATATTTTTAATTATCAATTTCACAAGAATGACAAGCCTATCACACTGCGAAGCTGCATTAATCTAAACTGGGGCAATTTCATGTTAGACATCCGAATTCCAAACAGGTAGTACATTACTTTGATTTATCAAAATTCATTGTGGACATGTGAAATTTGCGGACATTATAAATAAATTAGACGTTGGCGCGGCATTTCAAGAAATTGTAATTCCATAGTTTTGCAAGATTTCTCGATTTCCTTCCTCATTTATCAGTACCACAAGTATTAGACTACTAGCAAATACCATCGAAATTAGCAGGAAGCTGCATAGATCAAGGGAAAGCAAATTGTTTTATAAGACAGAAACAAGAGTTCGCCTTTTCAAAATTAATAGAAGGGGTCTGGAAATTGCGCCAATTAAAAGTACATTAAACAGGCAGGTAGGGCCTTCAAAGTTTGAACTTTGAACTAAAATTCCAAAGGCCTGATGTTTATGGAACCATAATTCCAACTTTTGAAATATTTTCATCTGGGTTACTCAGAAATCGGCAGTAGTAATTTACGGACAGAAAAGATAGCCAGAAGTAAAGGGCATGGGAGAAGCAACTCACTATCTCAACGTAGATAAATTTCCGATTCTTGTCAGCCAACAGCGAAGGAACTAAGGAATCTAATACATTCTGAACACAAGCTCCCTACAAAATTCAACAGGATAAGTATATGAAATTCACAATTTCTGTACGATATATTGTGCAAATTGTAAAAGTGACAGTGAGTGAGAGAAAGACCTGAATCGAATTATTAGAGCCAACATAGTACTGATCAACGGTCTTCAACCAACCAACGTCGTCGTGGGTGTGAGGAACCAGATGAACGTTTAGCTTACCGGGAACTACGCTCCGTGAGGTGTTATACACTATGAACTTGGATTGCCCACAAAAGATTGCTCCAAAAAGGAACAGCAAAAATAGTAACTGATTCGCCATTAGAAGCTCACGCCAATCCCTCTTGTAAAGCAACTCCGGACCCTCAAACAAAATCGTATCTTCCCTCAGTCTCCGGCTTGGTGTTCATGCACAGCACTGTTACCATTCAGCAGACTAATTTTCACGGCGATTTTCTCAGCAATTTTCAGTCGTACGAAGCTCTTTTGACTTCACCTTCTTCTTAGAGATGCAGCCAAAATCAGTCTAGTGTTTCGTAGATCAACTTTCTTTGACATCTGCCAAAACCAATGCTGTTCTGATAAGAAGCGGACAGGCCCATAGCAGATAATCCATGTTTCTTGTCAAGTCACAGTCCCAAATGACAACTAAAGTTTTGCATTTAAATTCTCTGCAAGAAGAGAGTTTAAATTTTGAAAAAATCTAAAAAAAGTGATAGTTGAATTTTAAAATTTTAAATTAATATTTGTTATTATACTCATAAAGAAAATGATTACATTCAAAGAGTAAATGACAACCTATTTTTGTAGTAATTTCTGATTTAGTATTTTGAAATTCAGTAGTCACTTTTTGAGATTTTCTCTTAAATTTTTGCCAACATTCTCGACAAAAAATTAATTCTTAATTTTATTTGCTTTTTTTTTTTCCTGATTTAGTGGTTTGGATAAGAGGCTGACGGGGCTATGATAGAAAATGTGTCTTTCTAGACTCTAGTTAAGTCATGCCAATCAAAGTTTTATATATATCCATTACCTACGGGCAAAAAAATCTCCGTAACTACCCAAAAGAAATGCCTATTTTATTTCAGTAGTATTCCAGAAATTTAATATTTTGGGTAAGAACTGGGGGACTATAATAGATAATCTGCATCTGAAATGTAAAAACGTGTTTGGTAATTCGTTGATTTTAGCTGCTGTCAGATTTTGGGGGGGGGGGGGGGACCGTTCAAATTGCTTTGACCGAGATTAGTCCTGCAATGATACTAAATGCTAACTCCTATGGGACCCCATCAACTACTAATCTTATAAATAGAAAACAATGTGTTATAAATAACATGGTAGTACATCTGAGTCAATACAAAAATGATAATTACAGATCTGCCTAATTGAAATCAAATGTTGCCCGCCTTGTAAGTTTTTTTAGCAATAATTTTACGAATTTATTTCAATTTTTGAGCTTGACAACTTTTATATGTATTACTAATTCAGGCTGTCACTAATTAAAAGTTATCGTTTTTCAAGAAGTGTGTTGTATGCGTACGCATGTATCAACAATTACATTTTTAACTGTCTTACGTGTCAATTAAAGATGAATCTGCTTTTTTTTCGGGCACGAAAAAATGAATCTGTTTTTTTTTTGGGTGAAAAAAAAAAGAATCCGTTGAGCAGTCTTGAAGAGGAATCTCCCAAGTCCTAACCAGCAGGAAAAGTTTAAAAAAAAAAGTCAAAAATACTTTTTACCCCCTCCATAGCGGCCACATGGATTACAGCACCAAACTTAAAGGACCTTTGATCAGGCCGAGTATTGGGCTATTAGTGATGCCCGACCCAGATGGCAAGCACCCGACCATGCTATTCGGACAAGTTTTTTAAAAAATTGATAAGAAAATCATTAAAATATTTTTGGTACGGATAAGCTTGAGGTGGCAGATATGGGCGGTGTCTATAAAGTCAATCGGACACAGCCCAATCACCTGACAGGATAGTTGTTAGAACCAGTAATATAAGTTGAATTTACGAGTTCAACTAGCCAACCCGTTAAAAAGAAAGGTTAAGGTTGGCTAAAAGCCAACCCACCACTACTTAAAAAATTATAACCTGAACTTGCGAGTCAACCCACCAAATAACAAAGGCAAAAGTAAAAAAAACTTCCACTTCAAATGTTATTGCTATTAGAGATAATTAGATAAATAGGGTTATTCAGTGTTACTCATTGGTTTCATTGGAAAAAAATGTGTAAACTTGCATACTATCATGTTAGAAAATTGGACAATCATATACTATTTGTGTTTTATTGTGTTATAATTTTTATTTGGATGTTTGTAATATTTTATATCATTTTTTAGTGTTTTTATTTGTTTTATAGATAATTGCTAATGTTTTAAAAAAATAGGAAAAATAAAAAAAGAAGGAAAAAAATGTAAATTCTAGTAGGTTGACTAAGGGTGTGTTTGGCAAGCACCTCAAACCATGGTTTTGGGACCCAAACCATGGTTTGGGAAAAATGTTAGCCAAACACCCTTAAAAAAATCAAAACCATGGTTTTGGGAAAAGCAGAAATTTTTTACTTTTGGAGAAAAAAGGGAGAGTGTGAGAGCTTATAGGATATATATCTTATTATTTTTTTTATAAACATATTTTTTATAAACATATTTAATCTTATATCTTATAAATATATATACATATTAATTATTTATTAATTATATTATCTTATATATTATTAATATATGTTAATAAAAAATATATTATTCACAATTTTATTCCTTCAAATTAAAATATATCATAAAATATATTTTTCTATAATTATCATATTAATTTATGCCAATTTGTATATATAAAAAGTACTTCTAATAACAACTATCCAAACACTCACACTTCTCAAAATCACTTTTTCACAAAATCTATTCTTTTCAAAATCTATTTTTTTCAGAATCTATTCTCCAGAAGCTATTCTCCAAACCATGGTTTGGTTTCATCCAAACACACCCTAACCCACCTTGGGGGTTAGGGTTTGCATTCTGCAAATTTCCCAGAAAATGAGCCTTTTTGAACTTGCAACGTGTGGCCACAGCCAGTCACGACTACTCACGGGCCAACCCCAACTTGCGGGTTGGCTCGTTTTACCAGCTCTGGTAGTTGTTTTGCGTGTTCAAATACAAGATAGTAGTACTACTTCCAGTCCTTAATACTCATTCGGTCCCTAATATAGGACCCAATAGCTGGGTTGGTTTTGGTCCTAAATATAAGACCCATTTCTCATATTTATCAATTTTCTCTAAATTACCCCTATAGATACTCCCCCAACCATAATCAAGTAGAAGATGAAGATGAGATATTAAGAAAGATGATTATGGTATTTTGGGAAAAACGTGTCATATTTCTTATAATTAACTAACTTATCTAACTTCCTTAATCTAATCAAATTAGTTAAATGGGTCTTATATTAAGGACCGGAGGAGTATAAATTAAGTTAGTTGACTAGTTTAAATAGATTAAAAAGAACTAATAAAACTAGTTACTTGTAATAAATAGATATTGTCTTTATTAAAGTATCCTACTATTATTATAAAGATTATCTTTAAAAACATGAATAATATGAGAGGTAAGGCAGACTGAGGTCTTATATTAAAGATAAAATAAAAATCAAATAACTTTATATTAATATTAAGAATCGAGAGGATGGTGAGTGATTAAACGGAAAAAAAAATTGCCCATTCTGTTTGACCATCTTCATAATATGGAGGCATGCGTGTTATGATACATATTTTCATCATTAATTTGCTGACCATTAATAATGTTATGGAGCTGGTAAAAGAAAGCACCGTTACCGCAGATTTTACGGGATTTTAAAAGCCGCCCCTATTTAGAAACTGTAAATAATAAACGCCAGTTTATTGACTACCCCCTCCTATTTTTATTATAAATTTCAAATAAGTAATTTATTAAAATTAGTTAAAAGTAATAAATAATTTAAAGTGTATTTGTATTTTTAAATATATCTTTGAAATGAATAAATAAAAATATATGTGAAAATGTGATAAGAAAAGTACAATAAATAATTAAAAATAAACAATTAAAAAATATATTAGATGTTAAAATTCCAAGGTTATGAATAGGACGGGGCTATAACGAGTGGCAATGTCTCTGGCTGCTCAAGTTGTATTTAAGATAATTAAATATCAAAACTATAAATAATCAACGACTTTATTCTGTTTAAATTTTCACGAATCATGCGGTTCTTGATCTCAGAAAGGTAAATGTCTTGTATAGTTTCGTTTGAAAATGAAAAAAAAAAAAGCTTATGAAGCACATTTACTGGAAAAATGATATAAAAATAAGTTAAAAATTGTAATATGCTAGTTCAGACACATAAGACTTCAACGTCTCAAGGAAAAAATGATGTGTGATCGGATAGTTTGCAAATATAATTAAATGTTAAAAATGTCATTACATCAAAAAGTTTATTAACAATTAACAAGTTATGAATAATGATAAGCGTTGAATAGTAAATGATAAAAAATATACTATCAGTGACAAGTCATTTGTTAATAAGTCGTGAACTGATAATAACAAATATTAAATAGCTAATAACAATAAATATATTAGCACTAACAAATTTGATATTTTTTATTTAAATCTAATATAAAGACATTTTAATTATTTGACTACATTTGTAAAATACTAAATCAAATATTACTCTCTCTTCTAAATCTTTGAACTCTTAAACACCTGAATTTAAATATTTCAATTTATAATTTCTTTTTATGTTATTTTCCCTACACATTGTTTGAGTAGTTTTCCTGAAATTTTAATCAATCTCAGCACTTTCTCATAAGCAATGAGAAAGTACTTTGCGTGGGAAAAAAAACACATAAAAAAAGCATAGATATTTAATAATGAGAATTTATTTTATTTATGATTGTTTAAATATTAAATAAAATTATATTTAAAATTATTATTAATTGAATAAAAAGGACTCTTCTGATCCTAAATATAAAACCCTTATATGGTATATAAGACTCTTATAAATGAGTAGTTAAATAATCCAAACAGGAAGCGGTCGCCGGTATATGACGTGAGGCGGTGCGTCATCCACCTATTCAAATGTTGACCAGGGTTGGTCCCGATATTCCCTAGTCACGATCCCTTTCCCGGGTCCCACCCTGGCCATAGGCGTGCTCTCACCATTATAAAAACAACTCCATATTTTATACGCAGACGTGATACAATTAAGTCCACAGATCAATTATAAATAAACAGTATGCCTGTTTTAATGATCTTTATATAATGTACATGTTATCTGTCAACCATATATCGTTGACAAATCTCTTCCTTTACACGTTCACATCCGGCATTTGACATTTCAATAATTGAAATATATTTTCAACTAATAATTGAAACATATTTATACCACATATCAAACAATTATTTGATAATTGAGTTGTGAGTTTATGCATGGAATATCTTTGTTGCTCAATTAACTCGGCCCTTTGTTTTCGTGACAGTAGTGTGATTCTTAGACATTGTCTTGGTAATAATATCACTTGTCACATTTAGATAAAATTTTGAATTCAGTATATTTAATTATATTTTTTTAGTTCTAAATATAATACTTGAAGAATTTTATATTTAGGACAGGAAGATATTAAATTTAAAAAACATAAAAAGAATACCATTCTTATTTTAGATCGTAACTATTGGTTGGAGCCGGCTTAATTTGATAATTTCCATGGCATGCTTACGTGTATATGCTCAATATCTGTACTTTATAATTTAGGCCAGATGAAGTGAAACGAAATAGAAAAAAGATCTCTGACCAGAAAAGAAATAGAAAAATGATCGAATAACGATGCAGGATTTTTTTTTTCAGGAAAGTCGGGCAAGTAAAAAAAAAAAAAAAGGTCCGAAATGATGCAGCAATTAATATGCGATTTGTGAAAATATATTAAGTTGTAGTAATTATTAGATGCAACCACGCGAAATGATTAAAAGGGAAATCTTTAGTTGATTGAGAAATAAAAAAAGGAAAGATACTGCTTTAACAAAATCTCACGAAAAAGATATCCCTAACATACAGCACGTGTTGTTTGGATTGCCGAAAAGCTAAATTACTGGAGGAGTCATGTATCTATATTAGCACTGGGAAAAAGGGCCGGCCCGTCACGGGCTCGGGCTTAAACGGGTCGGCCCGTTTAAGCCCGAGTTCAAAAAATGAAACATTTTCCTAAGCCCGGTCCCGTGAGATAACGGGCTCGGGCTGGCCCGCGGGCTTTTGACCCGTTTAACTAAAATGTATTTTTATTATTTTTCTTTGCCTATTTTATCGAAATAATAAAATGAAACAACAAAATTACTAATAAAAGATATAAATATAAATAAAAATAAGTCACAAACATAAATATCATTATGTTAAAACATCTATCACAGTGTAATAAAGTCTATTGAATGAACAAACTAAATAGAGGACAGACATAAACAACTAAATAAACACTAAGTTCAGTAAATAATTACAATATGGATGATCTTGTTTAATTATAAATAATTAACAAAAAAGTTTAACTAACAAACATAGTATATATAAAAATAATTGTTTGTCCTACTGACAAAAAAGAAAAGAGTTCATCATCCATAGTTCTAAATTTGTTTCTAACTATAAAAATGATATAGATTTTTATTTTAATTCAAAAGATTCTTTAACCAATTCTATTTCAAGTATAAAAAATATGAAAGAATGATAAATAAAGATTGTAAAATAACACATACAGCATTTTAATAGGTTTTGACAACTTATAAATAATAACACATTTTTGTTAATATACTTAGAATTATGGTGATTTCTTTTTTTGTGAATGCCATTTGTGTAAGCAGTGGGGGTAAGTAAAACTAAGAGTATATTATGTGTAAAATGTTAGGGTTTTCCTTTTTAAGTTAAGAAAAAAATATAAAAATTAAAAAAAAATTATTGGCGGGCTTAAACGGGCCGGCCCGCGGCCCTACAGGGCTGGCCTGTTTATTTTTCGGCCCTACAGGGCTGGCCCTTTTAAGCCCGACTTCCCTTTCAAGACTCCAAAATACAAGCCCGGCCCGCGACTTAAACGGGCCGGCCCGACGGGCTCGGCCTGTTTTCCCGGCTCTAATCTATATGCATATGTGTGTATATATACATTGTGGGTATTCATGAGGCTCTTCTACTCGAACTCAATTAAATTATGCCCAATCTAACGCTGAAATAACAGCCCAAATAATAACCGGATTTTTTTGGGTAGGACCAAATATCAGGTAAGGCCTGGAGTTTATATAATCTTCCGATCCTAAATATAAGATTTTTATATATACTAATATAAGAGTCCTATATTTAAAACATAAGAAGTATATAATTATATTTAATAATTTTTAAGAACAGTATTTCTGGCATGATTCCAACCAGTTTGCTATTGTTCCAGTGATATTCCCACAATAACATGTAAACATCATGAGTAAATTAACTGAGACCTGAAAAAATTAAATTTTAATCTGAGGCTTATTCCTGAGAAAATCACATAGAAATCTCATGTGAAGAATTTAAGCATCAATTAACCCAATTTATACAAAATGTTACAGGCCAGCATGTTAATACCACGCATACATTGGCACATGTGTGGTTATGAGTTGTTGCCTCGCATAGCATCAGTTAAACATGTATAAATTATATATAACATCCCCTCTAAAATTTTTTTCCCTTATTACTCTAGATTTCAATAATTTATCCCCTCAAAATTAACCTCTAATAACGACCTTGGTCATGCTTAGCAAGCATATAAATTCAAGGCATTTGTGCATTGGCAAATAAATTTATAATCTTATAATTATTTGATCCCTATAAGAAAAACCTTCCCAAATTAAATTGTGCATTTAGGTGCAGATTCAGTGTATCTCCACGCACATGCACTTGATTCTGTACTTCATATATGGACAAGGGCACAAGGCAATCTCCTCGGCGAGGGGTGTGATTGTGATGCACTGATGCCGACGAAGCCTACCACCTTGCACAATTCGCAGCCACGTGTAAAACCTAAACATGCCAACCTACTTTTTTAAAATTTACTTCCCCGAAAAGGAAAAACATTTTTGAAAAATAAATAATATTATTTTCAATTTTATCTTTAATCAAAAAACGTTTTTTGGCACCTCCAAATCTCGAAGAGCCAGACAAAGAACGCCTCTCACTTTAACGTGCAGCAATGAAAACCCTACAAGCAAGCCCCATGTTATCTTGTTCTTATGCGTCTCTTTAATTTCATCTTCTCTTTCTTACTTAAGATATGACGAGTGAACAACGTATCCTTTTCTTCTGATCTTTGCTTTCATCCATTATTCTCGATCATTCTTTTCGATTACAAATCTCAGATCTCTCTAGCTAGCATAGCTCCCTCCCTTTCTGCTTTCATCAGCTGGGAGAAGCAACGCCAGTGAGCTTATAATCGGAGAGGAGGTTATTATAATACTGAAAGTGGTCAAAGAGAGCTGAACAAGGTGGATCGAAGGCATGGGAAGAGACCTCTACCTTCTGATCATGATGCATCAGAGGCCAAAAGAGAAGATTTCATCATGTCTCGGCCTCACCCATCACCGTCCGATCAGACCCAAAAGGAAGAAACCTCACCTTCTACCTTTTCGCATCTTATCAGCACCAGTGATACTAAAACCTTCTCCGTCCCAATCTCACATGGTCAAGTAAGCACCTCTTCTGGGTTTGGGTTGATCCAGAAGCTGGATCGATCCCAGCCTCCACATCAAAATCAAGGTAATTAATTAAGGTCCCGTGCCCCTTTTCTTAATTTTCAAGAATATTGCCAATAATTCTTATGCATCACAGGATGATAGGTCCGTATAAACACCTGAGCCCATGGTAATTTTCCAATACAATACTTTACAAAGATATTTCCATTAATTATTAACCCGAGTGCAACTAGGGTTACTTCAATTTCAACTGCTGCAAAACATGATATTGATCTCGATCCACTATTTGTTTTTAGGCTTGTGTCTATCCGATAATGATGTTGATCATACCGACAAGTGGTTCGGTACGGTATATATTTGCAGTGTGCACTTACCATTGGTGGATCGTATTGTCTTCATATATGTAGTTTGAAAACTATTTCTTTCCCCTTAAACAGCCAGTAGTGCAATATATTTTCTAAAAAAAATGTTGAACTTGGACGCTTTGAAAGGTAACGATGTGAGAAAAAGAAACTATAGAGGAGTGAGGCAGAGACCATGGGGGAAGTGGGCAGCCGAAATCCGAGACCCTAAAAAAGCAGCTAGGGTGTGGCTTGGCACCTTCGAGACGGCCGAGGATGCAGCCGCTGCTTATGATGCTGCAGCATTAAGGTTCAAAGGAAGCAAAGCTAAACTTAATTTCCCCGAACGTGTTTCTTTAGCTACTTCTTCAGCCGTCCCTTCATCACAAACCCAGCTTCATGCTGCTCCTGCTCCGCCGATACAGGAGGCGGCGCAAACTGTGTCTTGGCCTCCGGCGCCATCGACGGACAATGAAGGGTTCCCAAATCTATTGCAGTACGCGCAGCTACTTCGTGGTGGTGATGCTGACCTCCAAAGAGCTGCTTCGGGACTCCATAGTTATCAGAATGATCCATTTCTTTTTTATCCTTCTACGTTATTCTCGTCATCATCAGGCATGTCTTCTACTTCGTCTGCTTCTATGTCTGGGTCTGATCAACGTCAGGTTCAAGATACGCAGAGAGTAGCACAGGAAGGAGATTATTATGGAGGTTCTTCTTCTCCCGGTTCTTGTTTCCTTGATGAAGGAAACACGAGGAGATAGTTTTACGAAGTTTCCATACTCACACCTGAACAGCCGGTGCATGCAGTGGAGGAGCGGGTAATTATGTCCGTTCATATAGCTAGCCTGCAGATTTTTCAGTTTGACTAGCACCTCTAACTAATTCTGAAACATTTATACGAATGATACGTTCCTTTTTCTTTGGTATAAGCATATATGTTCTATTCTGTTAATTCAAGGATGCAATTGTCTTTGTTTAATCATTGATATTTAGCACCATTATAGATTTTGATTCTTTGCGAGTTGTATGCGGCTTCGTGGCGAAAATATAATCTCATCATCTGTGTGCTTAATGAAGGTATAGAAACTTATATAAGTGATTGTATACGAGGTTTAGAGCAATTTACTTGCCTCCACCATCTAGTTTCCAAGCAAACTAGCATAATTCAAGCATGTAATAGTTACTGTTAGTTTCATTAGTGTCTTTTTTTCAATGAGATTGGTTATGAGTGAAAGAAACAAGACGCGTGCTTTATCCGAGATACTCGAGATATGTGTTGAAACCTAATTAATAATATGTAATTATATATGCTTATAGATCATGGTATTGATAAGTTCATATTGTATATACTTGAACGGTCGAGTAAAACTATTCACATGGTAAGCATTCTATGCAGCGAAACCAGTGCGATACTCGCGCATAGCAAACCAAACCAACTCCATGATAAATGTGAAAGAAGAGTAAATGCGCGTCTTAGTTTTTCGGGTCGGAGTTTAATGGGTGAATAATTGCGTTAAGAACATTAAAAATATGACCGACATTGTCAAAGGAAAAAAATGACGATCATGTGCAAAACATAGGTTGTTGTTCTGGAGAAGAAGAAATAATCACATCAAAGTAAGTCATAACTGACAGTTACGTCGAAAGATTTTTGTGGGGTTGGAAGTTTCATTAGAGATTCTGATCAACTAAGCCAGCGGCAAGCAGTTAATTTGTCTGGGTATGACTTCAGAGAAATTGAGAATTCAGATTCGTACGTGGAGTCAATGTTTGCGTCTATTATGCCCTTTTGTCCTCTTGGAGTATTCGCCGGTTTCTTACACCGCAAGCTGCTTCGGCAATTGGAGAACGCCGACGTCCTTTTAATAACATGATTTGCGCTCTAGGAACTGCAACTACCTATTGATATTTTGGCCCATGGCACCGTCGTCAACCTAACAAAACATGAGTCAAAATGTACAGGTGGCACGTTCTAGATCGATCACGTCCATTCGGCGCTAGGGAATGGATGGAGGAGGAGGAAATGAAAAATTTTAATGAGTTTCAATTGTTTATAAAATTGAAGAAGCAGGGTTCAATTTTTTAAATGCTTTTTTTATCGAAATTTTATAAATCTACTTCTTTAATTTTTCAAAACGAGTTTAGTAAAAGTTTCTCTCCTCCCCCTTCTCTTCAATTCTCCTGTATTAAACATAAGGTAAGAGGAGAGTTGATCTCATCTCCCTAAACTTTCATTCATAGAATACGAGCAGGAAAAAAATTGTACTCATTTAATTCTTAATATAGGACTTAATTATTAAGTTGATTTTGGTTCTAAATATAAGACATTTATCATATTTATCAATTTTTTAAATATCCATATGAATCTCTCTCAACCATAATCAAATAGAAGAGGGAAGAGGATATTAAGGAAGATAATTATGGTGTTTTAGAAAAAAAAATATGTCATATTTCTTATGATTAACTAACTTACCTAACTTTTTTAATCTAATCAAATTAGTTAAATTAGTCTTGTATTAAAGACGAGAGGAGTATACCAATTTTCCTTTAAGGTTATTAGAATTGAGCCGATGAGGACAAGTTAACTATATATGTATATCAAGTTATCGACGTCTTGTCCCCTTCGATCTCATGCTTGTATTTTAATAGGATTTATCACGAGAATAAGTCGGCGTCGTCCAGCGTGTATTGGGCGTCCGATCTTGAGGATATGTAGAAGTGTGGACTGGATCCCCTGGTGGCATCAGGATGACATACCCCAACAATGCTTTTGATTTTTTTTTTTTTGGGCGAAAACTATGCTTTTGAGTGTTGACTATTCGGAGGCATCGCCGAATTGGAGAACCGTGAAAGTTTGGACGACCCTCCTTGTAAACTGTAATTCTCCCTTCCCCTCTATTTCCATCTACCCAATGGAGGGAGGGAAAGTTGGGATAATGGGAGGGGAACAGGCCCAAATGAAATGGGCTTGCAGCTTTGATTGACTTGTCAACAGAAGACCCACAATACCACTGCGTCCAGAACTCCAGATTCTAGAGCATCCGGATCTCGCGCATGCCAGAAGATGGATGAACCATTAAAAATGAATATTCTAAATTCTCTATTTAATTTTGAAGTTTCGAACGTAATTTTATCTTTTTATAAGAATTTTAACTTTTTGTTTAAAAGCAACTGATATTCTAATTTTCGAAAAAAGAAGACGCGCAACTCGTCCATACTAAGTGAATAAGAAAGACCATGGCACTTTTTTAATAAGAAATACTTTTAATTATTGTCTTATTAATTAATAAGATAACGATTAAAACTATTCAAGATTTTAAAAATCAATATTTAATATAATAAATTATTTTTATTACTAATTTTCATATATGACCTCCATAAAGAATCTTTTTCTTAAAAGGAAATATTATTAACATTGCAAAAACATTGACAAATTAAATATCTACTTACTCTAAAATATAAAATTCATATCACCTTGATAAATATTTATATGCGATTATTTCTTACATAATTTAAAATTTAATTTTTCAGTTTTATTTTTAGTCGTTTATAAATTCTTGAGATTTTTTTTTTTGGCCGACTACTCTTAAGAAGTGGAGACTCTAGCGTCATTATAAATTATAAATTATAGTAAAATCATTAAAACCACGCATTACAGAAGCGGTGCCAATTTCTATTATACGAGTATCTTCTCAATTCCAAGTTTTCCTGAGGCGCAGTAGCTAGGGATTTGGCAGCGGAACAAAGGCCGAAGAAAGACAGAAGAGGAAGATGTTGAGGCTCGCGTCGAGGAGGCTTTCCTCCATCTCTTCATCTCCATGGAGAGCCGACCAGGCTATGTCGGCTTTCTTCTCTCGAAACTCTATTAAATCCGGCGGTTCTTCCTCCTCCGATCGCAACAGATCCTCTCCCGATGCTGGTCATTTTTCTCTCAGGCCCGACTTCCTTGTTCCCTTCAGAGGTTAGGGTTTCCTCCCCTTTCTTTATTTTGCGGTTCTTTTACAATCACTGGACACAAATTATTTGATTGAATCGGTGAATCTCGATTCATCTGAGTCTTTAAATCTATGCATGTAACTTTTCATTTTCCCATTGGCCGTTGCGATTTCCTTTTTATTTGGCTTGGATGGAGCGTTTGCATGATGAATTTGACGCCTGGTTCCTGTTTGTAGTAAAAGATGACATCTAGATACTGGAACTTATGCTCGAAACTGAAGTAATTACAAATTGACATGAGTGAATGATTCATTGCAATCATGGACTCCTTCTGGATCCGAGTATTGATTTGAATCTATACGTCGTTCAAAATTTGTAGCGTGCTTTGTTAGTTGGTCTGTCCTCTCTCTTTTCCTCGAGTTCCTTCGCTGGATTCTCACATTTTTAGTGTTGTTTCAGTTTACTTGTGAAATAGTTTCATTTTGAAGGTTTGGTTTGGCTTTTACTATCATCCCTCTCTTGAAGATTGGGTATAAACTGCATGTTTGGGAGAGCCATAGTTAGTTATTGCTTTACGCGGCGAAACTAATGGCGAAATATTGCTGGTGTTTTTACCATTTTTATTAGTTCTGATTGGAGTAACTTATCTTGCCCGTTTGGAAGTTTCAGTCCCCCCCCCCCCCCCAAACACTGGTTATGAACCTCTACGGGTCAAATGTTAGCACCAGTGTCTCCAGCTTGAAGGATACTTATTTTGAAGGATAAACATCTTTTTTCAGGGGCTCCGAAAACAGTTTTTGGCTGAAACTCTGAACATTGTGTGCCAGGGCAAATATTAGAATTTGCATCTCCTCCGTACACCTGATTAAACACTTTATATTAAGCCATTAGTTGATCAGTTCATCTGTTCAGTGAGGCCTATTTTTTCCATGCTAATTGTTTGAAATTGGTTTCCTCCAGGTTTTCTACTGACACGCTTGTCCATCCAAAGGAAAGTAGCATTATTTCAGAGATTCCTCCTACTGTCGCAGCTATTAAGAATCCTACTTCTAAGATTGTTTATGATGAACACAACCATGAACGATTTCCTCCAGGGGACCCGAGCAAGAGGGCATTTGCCTACTTTGTCCTAACTGGTGGTAGGTTTGTGTATGCTTCTCTAATCCGTCTTCTTATTCTCAAGTTCGTGCTCAGCATGTCAGCTAGTAAGGATGTTCTTGCTATGGCCTCCCTGGAGGTTGATCTGTCTAGCATTGAGCCTGGCTCTACAGTGACTGTTAAGTGGCGTGGAAAGCCTGTGTTCATCCGTCGTCGAACAGAGGATGATATTAAGCTGGCAAACAGTGTTGATGTTGGATCTCTTCGTGACCCTCAGCAGGATGCAGAGAGAGTGAAGAACCCAGAGTGGCTTATTGTGATTGGCGTTTGCACGCATTTGGGTTGCATTCCCCTGCCAAATGCTGGCGACTTTGGTGGATGGTTCTGCCCTTGCCATGGTTCACATTATGATGTTTCTGGCAGAATTAGGAAGGGGCCAGCGCCTTACAATCTGGAGGTACCAACTTATACCTTCTTGGATGAGAACAAATTGATGATTGGTTGAAGCTCTTGGCGCCGCTTTTGTGGGGATAAGGTTATTCAGGCACAACTTTTTGTCATTTATTCGTTATCTTCAAAATTTGCCTTGGACATCTCTCATCGAGTCCCATATTTGGGTTTGTTTAGATGTGTTAATGTAACTCAGAGAAAACTTTTACTGTCTGGCGAGACCAATTTGAATAATCGCCTGGCTTTTGCTAGCGTATAAATGCTTAAAACTGAAAGTCTTTGAGGACTACGGCCTGTGGCATGATGTATTCTATTTTGGAAATTGCCTATCACATAATTTTTTTTCGTAAGAGCTGCGTTTTTTTTGTAAAGAAAAACATTTATTGGTATGATGTATGAAACTTACAAGTTACAACAACTGTTCGTATTCACGCATCCATTTTCCGGGTATTTTGAGTATATGCGACTTTAAGCAGGCAAGAAGCCCAGAGTTTGGTGACATGTTTATTCTTTAAATTACTAATATGTAGAGAACCAGGATCATAAAAATGTCAATTAATTAAACCGGTGTCTAGAGATAATTGGCATCTCAAAATTGTGAGCATGCTGGGTTAAAACACTGGGAATCACAACAGTGTCCAACATACTAAGTCAGCCAATCAGCCAAGGGCCAAAAGCAAGTCATCTTTCAAAGATGCCTTTGACATAAACCATGCCTTTTTCGCTCAATTGGAGCTCCTTTCTCATTTGCTCGACTTGTTGATCATCGCCTTGAACAATAATCTCTGATAAGGTTCCATCATCTGCAACTATCATTTTAACCTTAATCTCCTCCTTTCTGGATGCTCGGGTCCAGTAATATACGCCCCTGTTTCAAATTTCAGGAAGTGTCAGCATTGCACATATTAGCACCCATTGCGGAACATCCTTTCAAACGGAAAAGCAAACTTAACACCACTACTTTACATTGTCATGGCATTCACTTACGCTAGTGGACTTAAGATGGTAACCCAGAACCAATTGTTGCCAATATCTGGGAAGGTTATGGTAAGAACTAGGGCCACGCTTGCCAAGCTGATGCAGGTGCAGAAACTCAATAGCGCTGCTTGGCCCCTGCTAGGAACCATCATTCCTTCAAACCTTCATAGACGAAACCACAATATCGGATCTCAGTTATCCAGCTCCAAAAATAAAATAAGCGAAAATACAAAAGAAAGAAAGAAACGCTCATATGATGCAAGTCTGAAACCTTTCATAAACAAAAATACTCGTCGATTATTTTAATTCAATGTTAAATTCCCGGGTTTTTCCTGCCTCAACTGGGTTGCAAAGAGGAGATAAGTTTCTTCGAGTAAAGGCAGGTAAAGAGAGGGACTGAGAAAATTAGAGTATGCAAGAAGAGAAGGAAGCCATGATGACTTACGTGACAGTTTCTCCCCTATCAATCACCGCAAAATTATTACGCGTGAAGAATGATAAGATCTCCCCAGCAGCCTGATTTGGCGCCTTCTTCTCGCCTTCGCCAATAAAGGTCTTCTTCACAATCTATCATCAAAGCCATCCGAATCAATTCAAAATTGTCGAATCAACATAGGAAATAGCAGCAATCAAGAAGGAAAATATTACACAGCTCGAATTACTTTGGACTTGACAGAACGCTTGATGAGGGACCAAAGGCCCGGAACAGAGATGACAAAGAGACCAAGAGAAGTGTAGTAACTGGCCAATGAATAACCGGCGCTATCTGTAAGTAGAACGAGAGAATAAGGGTTTTGCTGGTTTTGGTGGGCGATGAAGTCCAAGATAGCGGAAGATGAAGAGACGGGGTCGTGAAGTGAGGCATGGAGTTGAAGCTTCTTTGACCTCGGTAGGTGTCGCTCGCATCCTACGGATGGCTGAACCTGGTGGTGGTGGGTGAAGCCTCCGGCGTCGAATTTGGTGGCAAACGTTACGGGCGGTGATAACAGCATCTTAGCTGCCATGGATTGTTCTCCCAGCTGCGAACACCGAAGGGATAGGGTGGTTTTTCGACCCTGAGCTTTGCGCTTCTGGTGCACAGTGCATTACTGCTACATTTGACGGTCAGGATTCATCGCTGCTTCAAGTTCAACCGCGTGAATTGGATTAGTCTCAAATTAGTCAAATAATCCATCACCCCTCAACGTAATATAGATTAGTTGAAAATTTACTTTATTACCGTTTCAATTCTTTTGTTTTCAAATTTATTAATGAAATATTTTATGAGATGTTCATAAATAGAAATGGGATCTGTGTGAACAATTAAAGTGAATAAGGATGCACATCTTTTTATTTAATTAGAACAGCCTATTTCATAATACCCTTTTATTTGTTTGACCGCCGCGCTAATCATACTAAATTTCAACATTATATTAATATTTTTTATATACGCGTTATATTAATTTTTTGCCTCCTATAATATGAATAAGAGGGAAAGTAGGAAAAAGAATCTCCCCACTCCCTTCGACTTCTTATTTCTAAAATGAAAAGAGCATGTGCTCCTCCGATCCTTAATATAGGGCTTAATTGTTGAGTTAGTTTTCATCCTAAATATAAAACTCATTTCTCATATTTATTATTTTTTTCTAAATTATCCTTATAGATACTTTCTCAACCATAATCAAGTAGAAGAGGGAGATGGAGTATTAAGAAAGATGATTATAGTCTTTTAGAAAAAACGTGTCACATTTCTTATAATTAACTAACTTACCTAAATTTCTTAATGTAATCAAATTGGTTAAATGAGTCTTATATTAAAAAATGGAGGAGTATTTAAATGTTATACTAGCATATTTTTGTTTTCTTAAAAACTGAATAGAAGTTGTGACCTATGTGAATCTGGCTTCACTAGATCCGGGATAAATGCCAAAAGCCAACATATCGCCGGGTCCAGACGATTTGAGAGATGATCATACTCCCACGTCGTAACTTCGTTTTGTTGTGAATTAAATACACGGTATTTGAGATCTTGAAAAAAGGAAAAAGAAAAAAGAAAAAAAAAAGCCATCTCATTTATAATTTGTAAATTTCATGTCTTGTCAGAATTTTTATCTTACACATAAATACTGATTTTTTTCAGAAAAATACACAATAATTATAGCATAGTTATAGTATCTTCCTTGGCAAAAAAGAATAATTATACTCATCTGGTCATTAATACTACCTCTGATCCTTAATATAAGACATTGTTTGACTTTTATTTTGGTCCTAAATATAAGACCCCAATCTACTTTGTCTCTTATATTTATACTTTTTTTTTTCAAAGTAGTCATTCTAGTAATAGTATTTCTAGCTAATATACTTAATTAGTAATGATATTTTATGAAAGACAACACATATTTATTAGAAATAACTAACTTAACTTTTTTCTTAATCTCTTTAAATTAATCAACTAGCTCTTATAATTAGGATTGAAGGTAGTATAAGACTTAATTAACTAACTTGAGTAGATCAATAATATTAGTTAAATTAGTTAATATAATAGTTTTTTTTTAAAACACCCTAATGATTTTTCTCAACTCCCTCCCTCATTTTTTTACTTGATCATTGTTGAATAAATATCAACAGGATTAATTTAAAAAAATGATAAATATATAAAATAAGTTTTATATACATTATCAATATAAACTCTCTGATTAGATCATATATTAAGAATTGGATGAGTAATATAACATCCTTGATACACAACATAGGGAGCCAGAATCACAAATTCACTCCATGGGTGGCCGTTATCCGTACCAGGCGTGGCATTTCTTTTATATATATGTGTGTGTATATATATGCACCAATTAGCTTGGACTAGCTTTTAACTGCCGAACATTGACCCGCTTTTTTTTTTTGGCCCCGGGAAGGGGGGATTAACCACATTTCGTGTCTGTAATCCACCAAAAATAAATAAATTATTCCTAGCTCAATTATGCCAACTTCCTGGGGGGAACTCAACTATGTTTAACATGAATCTTGCCGTCACTCTCTAAATAAGTCCCCAAATGGGTAAATCAAATTCTATATTTCTTTTTGCATCATTTTCTTCACACCAATAAAAGCCATATTTATGTGTTTGTTGGATGGCTTTTCCTCCTCAACAGAATAAACTAACATTTCTTCACCAAAAAAGAAGAAGAATAAACTAACATTTTATTAGCCTTCTCCGCCGCCACTCGGACTAGCTCATGTCTATAAAAATTACTGCACGATGATTTTTTTTTTGGCCGGCAATAAATTACACGATACCTGCTCCATCTATTTTCATCAGAAATATTTGATCAAATCTGCTGGCAAAAAAAAAAGGGATTTGACCAGATCAGGGGAATAAAAAAATGAATTAAAATTAATGAAAGATGATAAATATATAAACGTTATATTTTTTTCTCAAAAATACTCCAAAGAGTATAAGAGACAATAAAAAGATGAATGAATATGCTTTAGGAAATGAGATATAAATATATTAAGGTTAAAATAAGTAATTAATAGGGGCAAGATAAAAAAAAAAAAGCCAACAAAACTTGAGACATTTCATAAATGTTTTTCATAAATAGAGATAAAATAAAAATGATAATTTTTTCTTGTTAAAAAAAGGGGAGGGAGTAATAATGGCCCCCACTTGATTTTGCCAAAAAAAAAAACCAAAAAACACCTGCATCTCTACAAAATCATCTTGAGTTTTGAAAGCTTCCTCAATAAAAGCATTCTTTGGGTTAAAAAGGGACGTTAGTAGTCACGCATTCATATATGTATGGACATGTATATGTTCACCAAGCTTGAAGAGAAAGAAATGAATTTTAAGAGGGCGTCAATCATAATACTCATCTGCTATTTAAGATAAGATATAATTTACTAATTCAAATAGATTAATGATATTGGTTAAATTAGTTAATATGATATTTTTTCTAATACAACTTATGTACATTTCTTAATTTCCTCCTGTACTTATTTATTGTTGAAGGATATTAATAGAAATTTGAAAAAAAAATGATAAGTATATGAAATAAGTCTTATACTCCCTCCGATCCTAATTATAAGAGCTAGTTAACTAATTTGAGGAGATTAAGAAAAGAAATTAAGTTAGTTATTTCTAATAAATATGTGTTGTCTTTCCTAAAATATCCTTGTTAATCAAGTATATTGGTTAGAAATACTATAGTTAGAAGAACTACTTTGAAAAAAATATAAATATAAAAGACAAAGTGGATTGGGATCTTATATTTAAGATCAAAATAAAAGTCAAACAAGGTCTTATATTAAGGACCGGAAGTAATAGATAGGATTAATATCAATTCCATAATTAACTCATATACTGCATCCGGTCCTTAATATAAGAACTAGTTAACTAATTTGAATAGATTAAAAAAATTATCTAAGCTAGTTATTTATGATGAATATGCGTTGTCTTCCTTAAAATACTCTTATTAATCAAGTGTTATTTGATGAAACATTTAACATGTGCAACTATTATAAATACCAGTTTAAAAAATAGATAAATATAAGAGAAAAATTATATTGGGTTATTATATTTGTGATCAAATTAAAAATCAAATTATTTCTTATATTAGGAATTAGAGGTAATATTAAAAAGTGGGGGTACTGAAATATGAAACTACCAGGAAATAAAAAAAATTATTTATTTATTTTTTCCTGTCGCAGGCAGTGAGGTCAAACAAGCAACGTTAGCGAAATGGTCCCACCTGATTAGACAATGGTTGTTTGTCCTTTTTTAACGTAAAAAATTGATGACGATAATCATTGTTCAGCCTTCCTAGTCCCCCCCGCCCCTCATTTTTTACCAGAACTGCCTAGTACACTTTACGAATTAAAACGAACGCCTAATGTCCATTAAAAATATATGTTCATACAACGTCACGTGAAATTTTGATTTTGATTATAATAATAAATGCAGCACGTTCGGACAAAATAAAAAAAAAAATTAAATATGGGTAAGAAAAGTGGGAAAGCAAGAAAGGCATAAAAAAAACGTTTACTTGAGACTCTAGAGCTTCCCAAGTCCACGAGAATACGAGATCAGAAGATGGTCCATACTTGACGCTGCCGTCAAAGGCGCCATTCCTCTGCGACCGTCCCGAGCCGCGCCTGCCAGGGGCATCGTTATATTGAGGGGGAAATGTAAAAAAAAAAAAAAAAAAGGTATGTATGTAGGTAAAAGAATGACAATTATAAAATATGTAAAAAAAAAAAACGTGAATAAGAGCTTTTATGCTGCAATAATATGAAAGTCTGAGACTCTGAGTTGTACATTTTAAAATTTTAGTTGTGAGGATAGTTTTATTTTACATTCTCTGCGAATTCTTTCATTGCCACGCTCCCTAATATTTTTATATGTGATTTTTTAAAAAAAAGTTTAACACGTCTGTAAATTTCAAATTATATTCGAATTACCAGGTACTTAGTTGGAATAACACTAATATTTTTTAATTATAATTTACAAAATACAAGGTAAATATGTAAGAAAATTTTTGTTTTGAATTATGTAAATAAATGTTTTTGGAGTCAAGTCCTTAAGAGCTGATCACCTTTTGCCCCTTTTTTATAAGATATTTATATATGGACAAAGAGTCTCTCCACTTCCCTCTCTTTTCATTTCTATTAACTTCTCATCTCAACCATCAAGATTGAAAGTTTAATGGTTTAGATTTTATGTTTTACAAAATAATTTTATAAAATATTCTTTGGTATTGTTCTTAATTATCCTGGCTGAAAGTTAATAGTTTTATTTTATTTTATTTTATTTCAAAACTTAATTTATAATTTTAAAAACATGAAATCTAACTGTTAACATTTTAATCTTATAATTAGAATAAAAAATGAATAAAAATGAAAGGAAAGAAAAGTGGAGACACCGTTGCTATTTTCAGTTTTGGCACTCTTGCGGAGCACTGGACCCGGGTAATAATGATTTTTAATTACCATGTAATTTTAAAACTAGAGAAACCTAATTTCTAGAGATATCAAACTAGATTAGAGTGTTGGGATCTGTGACATATTGTACTCTC